GAAAGAAAGAAAGAAAGAAAGAAAGAAAGAAAGAAAGAAAGAAAAAACCTACGGTAAAGTTTTCCTTGGGAGAAAATAATGCCTTTCTTGATTACTTGCCTGTGGAGAGAATAAGGGAGAAAAGGCAGTGCGCGTCTCCAGAGGTTTTTCTATCCACGCTTAGCTAAGGGCTCTGTCCAACTACCTGGCAGATTCCTCTTCACTGGAGCTAAAGGGATGGAAATACCATAATGTTTCTAGCAGAGGCGCCTCTTGGAATTGCAGGAGGGGTGTGGTCAGGGCTGAAGGCAAGGGGCAGCTTGTGGGGGGGGGAAATGCATTCACTCTCCCTCTGTCAACAAGACACCAGCAGCACCGCCAGGAAGCCTGGCAGGACGCCACTGCCAAATGCAATTAGACAAACCAGGAGCTCATCCAAATGAAATTCCCTTTCCAATATAAGCCCTGTTCCTTTGAAAGAATGATCGTGCTAATCATGATAAAAAATGCCCCAAGAACCTCTGGCTGCCTTTTTCATTTGCTTGTGTTGACAAAGCCATTGGGACTCCGGCTTCCATTTTCATTGATCTTGACGTATTCTAGTCAACGTTGATCAAAACCTTCATTTTGAAGACGGCCGAGGAGTCTCAAGAGAAGCAGACAGTGTATTATTCCAGAGGCCCCAGTTTTGTTCCAGCTGTTAATAATCAGGTATTTATAAGTCTGGATTTCTCAAAAGAGGTTTAGCATCCTTGCCATCTCCCAGCTTCTGCTTCGCCTCATTGAAATGAGATGTGGATTTGGGGCCTGCCAGAATGACATTGCCAAAGGTGGGCCATTTAGAATATCATAAAAAGGCAGACAAATTACAGTTATTTAAATTAGTCCTATATTTTACTTTCAGAGGGGGGGGGAAGGGGTGCCAGTGGGTTTTCTGCTTCAGGTAGCAATATAATTTTGCCTGAATTAGATGCTTTCTATCTTTATGCCTCAGGCATAAAAATGCCTTTGGCCAGCTCTGTGTTCAGTGCACAAGATGAGCATAAACATTTGAAATGGAGGGTAGCAGCAATGATGGTAAAGCAATTTATAAAATACATATTTTAGGTCAACTAAAGAGGCATATGGTGATGAATACACTCAAAAAACAATTTCTAACCATGAAGATCAAGTTCATGGCATCTAGCCAAACCAAGCAGTCCAAAACATGCCATTAAAAACCCAAAACGAAAGTGTGGAGCAAGTTGAGAGACATAAGTACTTTGGAATTTAGTTAAATTGAACAGTGGAATCATCAGCATGCAATAAAAGACAGGAAAGAAATGGCTCAGAGTAGTTTCCTTGAGATAAAGAACATAACATGCAACAAAAACTTTGCAAAAAATCTGCTTTTGCTTTAAGCATGTGCATGACATGGTGCTGTTTATTCTGAATTCCACCATATGGCATTGACTTCTGGACTTTGACACAAGCCATGATTCAAAAAGAAGACAGAAGCATTTGAAAGCGGGGTTTATGATGTTGAATTGAGAGGGTGATCAGTAAAAATGTCCCGAAGCACAGGGACAATACAAAGAAGGCATAAAACTCACAAAATGAGTTATTGAGCTCATTAAAAAGCTAAATGTCAAACTCATAATGAGAAACAAGAGGTACAGATTGCCACAACTGCTCATTCAAGATAAAATAAATGAAAAGAAATTCAAAGAAAAGAGGCACTGATCATCTAGAGCAGTGGTCCCCAACCTTGGGCCTCCAGATGTTCTTGGACTTCAGCTCCCAGAAATCCTGGCCAGCAGAGGTGGTGGTGAAGGCTTCTGGGAGTTGTAGTCCAAGAACATCTGGAGGCCCAAGGTTGGGGACCATGGAGCTAGAGAATGGAAGTAGCACACCATCATTATCTACAGCTGCTACACCCAAGGTCAGCATGGTCATGATAAGACCCTTCTCCCATCTTCTGATAGGGGAGGAAGAGAAGAAGAAGGTGGCAACCCAAGGTTGGGGACCACTGATCTAAAGAATGGAAGTAGCATGTCATCATTATCTACAGCTGCTACACTCAAGGTCAGCATGGTCATGATTACACTCTTCACCCATCTTCTGATAGGGGCGGAAGAGAAGAAGAAGGTGGCAGAAAATTCTGTGTGCAAGCTTTTGAGATAAGAAATCTCTTCTTCAAGCATGAGGAGCATCCTGATGTTCAATCATGCTGGACAAGAGCTTGCACACAGCACGTCCTAACTTTCTAGAGAGGCTAATAAAGGTATGACCACAACATGGATTTTGTGATACCCAGATCCACACAGTTCAGTATCATATTCAAATAATCTCTAATAGAGATGGGGACAATTAAGAAAATGGCCATTTGTTTTGATCCGTAATTCGTCAAGGTTAATGGATCAATGAATACAAATATATGAATATTCCTTGACGAATTGATGAATCAACCTGTCATTTGTCTGCACTTTAAATGGCTATAACACTGGCCACCAACTGCCTAGAGACACTTAATTTGCAGGAAAGCCTCCTCAGGTGCTTTTCTACAACCCCTGAAAGTTTGGTGAACATTAGATTATGGATCCCTGAGTTATATAGACACAAAGGGGACCCCCAAGGAAATCTTCTCCCAAGTACTTAGAGACACCAGAATCACAACAGAGCTTCCTATGTGTTTCCCCAACAAGCATGCCAACTTTGGTGAAGATTGGATATTGGATATCCGAGTTATTCACCCACAAATTGGGTACCCCCAGGAGAGTTTACCACACGGCACAGAAGCCCATTCTGCCTACCAGCCACTGATCAGCTGATCAGAAGCTGATAGACAGCCACCCCTCACACACAGAGCCAGCCACCCCAACAGCCTACCCGCACACACCCTTCCTTTCCCTACTTTAGCCCCCCCCCCACACCACTCCTACTAATACCCCCTTACCTTAATAGCTGCTGCCAGGTCTCCATCAGGCCTTCGCAGCCACAGCATGTAAAAAGGGAGACTGGCTGCCCTTTGCAAAGGTGGAGGTTGCAGCTTCATTTAGGGTAGGGTCCCCATGGCATAGAATTCTTTCAACCTGGGATAGAGCATTGTCAAAAACTTTCATATAGAGGACCTTCTTGCGTACACCAATTCTGAAATGAATTTGGTTAAGAAAACCTTAATCCCCTTCCTGCTTTTTTTTTTTAAATGATGCCACATGAAATATCAGATGGTCTCAAAGGGCATGCCAGGTATTCACTGTCCCACATAAGACAGTGTCACATCTAGAGATGGGCATCAACCACCAGTTTATTTATCAGCTGAATTCAGTGCTTCAAAGTCCCATCTCCTATGGCAGATATCCACTCGGAGGCAGTGCCCCAGCTTCCCTGCCCTGCCTCCTCTGTTTGCTGCCTCTGCGTGGGAACCCACCAGAAGAGGCAAGTCTTTGGAGCACCAAACACCTGCTTGGGAGATAAACAAACATGTCCAGTCACACCTCTTTCTTTCCAAAACACTGTCTTCATTATTGCATCTTTTCTTGATCCTGCAGAATTAATCAAGCATGAACTGAAAATAAACAAACACACACAGAGACATCTTCACATGTCTAGAGCAACTGAGGCAATCACATTTTTCTGTAAATATATTATTAGTTTTTCAGGAATTGCTATAGTCCTGTGCAGAGGTGTACACACTATGTGAATGAAGGAAACAAACAATATTGCCCCCATTTGCTACATTTATATCCCACCTTTCCACCACTGAAATATCCTTTGTCTCAAAACAAGCCTATGAGATAGAAGAGGCTCAGAGAGGACAGCTTATCCAAGGTATGTTTCATGACTCAGTGAGGATCTGAACTACTGTACATTTCCAAAGTCCAACACTTTCCACCCCTGAGTCCCCAGATGTTCTTGGACTCCCAGAAATCCTGGCCAGCACAGCTAGTGGTCAAGGCTTCTAAGTGATTTAGTCCAGAAACATCTGTGGGACCCAAAGTTGGGAACCATTGCTCTAACTACTGCATCCTACTGGGTCTTCATGGAGTCTTGGATACACTCAAATAGGACAGAAGATGACAGCATGGAAAAATAATCAGGGCTGCCACATCCTCCTCCAAATACGTGACTTCAAGTTCAACTGGTGATGCCATAAGTTCTTGTTGAAATTCAGCTTATCGAGTTATTCATCAATCATCACATTCTGGACTTTCCAAACAGAAGAAGTTTGTTTTGTTATCTACCATCAAGTTGCTTCTGGGTATGGAGATCCTAGTACAGTGTTCAATATATGTTTGCTAGAAAACCAAATGATTTACAAGTGACTTCATGCATGGTAGTGAGTTATCTTTCATGCAAAAGGTTGGCATCCATAGCAGTTCTCAGACCCACAGAAAACCCTGGACAACGGGGGCCAATTTCCTTAAAATACCATCATGCTAACACATTGTACCACTGGCTTGATAGCTCCTTGGTTTAGGTTTCTGGTGCAGGATCAGAGGTTGGGAGTTTGATTCCTCACTGTTTCTCCCATGAGTAGAGCCAGTCTGTGTGGCCATGGGCAAGCTGGTTGGTCCCAGGGCACCTCCAGAAGAAGGGAATGGTAAATCTGTGTATTCTGTACCTAGAAAGTCCTAAAAAAGGATCATTGTAAGTTACCATTGACTTGACGGCACATGATGATGATGATGACGATGATGACGATGACGACAACGATGATGATGATGATGACGATGATGACGATGACGACAACGATGATGATGATGATGACGATGATGACGATGACGACAACGATGACGACAACGATGATGATGATGATGACGACGACGATCACGACAACATTGTAAGATATTATAAGGATGGTGTTAGGTCAAGGAGCCACAGTTTCAATTTTCCACAGTGTTCAGAATAACAGTATGTTGGGATTAATTTGGAAACTGAATGGCTCTCCCACCAGAATATTGTTTGTTACCACAGTCATTATCACCACAAGATTCCTGACACAGACTTGGAAAATTCCTTTTTTTGAACTTCACTAGAAACTGCCGGGCAACCTAAGCAGTGGAAATGCTTCCAGGGAAATTCTAGGAGCTGTGGTCCAAAAAGATGATTCTTCCAAACTCTGATGGATCTCCCAACAAAAGATACCCAAGTGCCTTGGTGGAAAGAGCAGAATCCAAAGGGACATATAAGAACGCTTCCTGTCTGTTCTATTTTTTTCCCATAACTTGTTGC